GTGTTTCGACCGTTCGCCGGCTATTAAAGCACCCCCATGCGGCGAACTCGGCGAATTAAAAAACAGCGCTAGAAAAGTCACTTCGACATTGGCGTATAACCTTCTTTACCGACCGATCCCTTTTTCTTTCATCGATTCTATCGCATCTTTGTTCGAATACGTAATCTCTTTCATAACCTATACAATTTAGAGTCTCATTGAGGTAAAACGCAACGATAACTATTTTTTATTATCAAACCTTTCATTCTTTGCGTATTTTTTATTGTATAATCGAATATTATTTCAGTGCATCGATTGGAACTAACGTTTAATATCTTACAAATCAAGGTATTTTTTTTTTTTATTATTATTATTAATATCGGTATACTATTACTTACACTAGAAAAGACATGGTTATGTATCTAGTTCATTTTATGTTACAATTTGTTTGTTTGTTTTTTTTTTCAGAATAATGTATTCGCATGTAATTCAATACAAATTGAGAAATGTGTATCTACATGTAATGGTATTAAATCTTAATTACTCTTACGTTGATTCATGTAAATTTTGAAAACTTAAGGCTGTTGTTCGTCACCTTTTGCCCATAACATATGTGACTTCAGCGACACTTGTGGACGAAATATGAACTACAAGTGCAATGGGGGAAACTCTCTGTCCTCCTCCCTTCCCAAGCACCTATGCACTTATGCATCGGTGTAGGTAAGCTTGTGTAGGTTAATTATATCCCGCTGTTCATCCGTAACCTAACAATTGAGTTAGTGCGTGACAGAAATTTTTTTTATATAATAAAAATAGTAATAGATCTGACAAAACAAAGAGAAAAGATTAATTGAAAAGTCTTTGTCAATTTTGTACGTATTTTATATTTTTCATTTCTAAGTTAAAGTTACAGATTAAAGGTCATTTAAGCGACAATATTAACTCGATATTATGTGCAATAGAATGTATAATGTATAAAAGATAATAGCAAGAATAATAATAGAAAGAAAATCAATAAATATGTATTCTGAATTCTGAAATTCATGGATATAATACTGAACACATAAGAAGAATGGAAAATATTGATTTGAAAAATGTAAATAAGAATGAATGAAAGTTAATAAGAATAAGTAAAAATAAATAATAGTAAATAAGGATTAATAAGAATGTGTATGAATAAATAAGAATAAATGAGAATAAATAAGAATAATAAAGAAATTTCATACTTTTCAGTGTGTTTCTTTAAAGAATTATTTTAGAATTTTACTATGTCTACTTATCTACTGAAATATGATTAGCAAAGTAAAATGTAAAATACTTTAATGTTTAATTAGAATTAAATAAAAAATATTTTAGAAGAGAATTGAAAAGTATAGCCATTGGGTCAGTAATGAAAGGAATTAATTACCATTAGTTCATTTATTATTATTTACCATCAGTAGATAACCAAGAAATCTTCATTATCCATTGGAAAATTTCTTGCTTATCGACTGATTATAATCATTACTATAATTGAGACTGTTCATTATCTTTACTTCGTATACATTAAAGATTGTTTAAATAATTGAAAAGGTATCGAAAATATTAATTTAAAAGGGTCCGTGTTTAAGAAGAGAGTTTCGATGTTCATCCATCAAAAAGCAAAAGAACAATATAAATCGATAATCGGCAAAGTTAATAACAAATTGATTATATTTACATTAGACAAAGTCAACAATCTTTTAGATTAAGATTTTAAATTATTTGAGTTTTAAATTAAAATTATTTTAAGTATCTCCCGCGTTATCGTCATTTTAATGTTCAAGCTAAATGTACTACAAATCACATTGAAAAACAAATCGGAACTTTGTATCCGGATTACATGATACGTAAAGAAGTTGCATATCAAATCATACGACAATCTGATAAAATTATGTTCTCCTATTAGATATTTCAAATTATGTATAAATTCAAAAAGGAGAGAAGAAAAAGTAGGCAAGATTCTAAAGTTAGATTTTAATGATTTCTTTTTTCTTTTTTTTTCTTTTTCCCTTTTTTTTTATTATCCAGTATAATAAGATACATTGCTTGACAAACGATTATACAGACGTACAATATTCACCGATTCGTTTATCTCCATGTATTTTTTTTTCTTTTCTTTTTTTTTTTTATTCCCCTTTACAACGACGTCGTAACTCCGTAGAATTTTCGTCTTGACGATTTTTCTAATCTCTTTCTTTTGTTGTTTTTTTTTTCTTTTTGACTATTTACAAAGAGTATCATTGTTTAGGATGTTATTAATTTTATTATACACAACATCAAATTTTTTAGGGTTTTTCAAGATTCAAGTTCATTCATCTTTCACAGTAATAGCAATTATTTCTTTCTTTTATTCATCTCCCCCCCTTTTTCATTTTAGATGCATACATTCGTAAGTAAACACACACACACACACACACACACACACATGCACAGACAAAATCTCTCTTCCTCTCTATAATTCTCCTTTTTACCAAATCACTCCTACAATATACTACATATTACTAATTTGAAAAGATGCACTGTACAATAGATACGTAGCATTGTTTCGAAAAAAGTTATTTTTATGTGAGGCGATAAACTTTCGATATAAAATCTTGTCTTTTTAATTAGGTATATTTAATGAATATCATTAGAAAAGTTTTACGATTACAATGAAGTTTCGAGAGAACTTATATTTAATACGTTTCTCCAGCATTCGTACCTTTCAATTCCACGTTCTTAATAGGATATCGTGGAATTATAATGGAAATGTTTAAAAAAAGATCATTATTATAGACGAATCAATGAGTATGATTAAAACTAATAATTAATGTATAAAATAATAAAAAATAATAATTTAATATGACGTTGATCATAGTGAAAACAAAAGGATAACAAAAAATATTCCTATCTTTGATAATAATCGTAGTTGCAACAATAATTGAATATTTTACAAGGGATATAAAAAAAATTTCGAATTTTCCTTAAAATCAATACTTTTCTTCTCTTTTTCTTTTTCCTCCTTTTTTTTTTTTTTTTTTTTTTTGAATAAATTTCTCTCTCGGTCGCGTGCGATATATCTGAAAACTTTTTTAAAGCGTTCACGTTCAAAAAGAAAAAAAAAAAAAAGAAAAAAGAAAAGAAAAGAAAAGAAGAAGAAAAAAAGAAAAAAAGGTTAATCGATATAATTCGAATGATCGAATTGTCATACTATATCGCTTTGCAAAAGATTATATTGTATTTCCCAAACGCTAGGCCAAATGTTCTTCATAAAGGAAAATAGCAGTATTCGGCGATTGAATACGCTTAAAGCTAAACATTGATTCGCTCCCAATAATCAAATGGGATTATTCTATCTGGCGATGCAGAAAATTGCATTCCCCTCACCCTCAAAGAATTTATCGAATCGTGAAATATTTCTCTGGTATTTACGATCTGCAACCGCATTAATAGAGACCTCTCTCTCTCTCTCTCTCTCTCTCTCTCTCTCTTTCTTTCTCTTTCTTTCTCTCTTTCCCTTTCATTTCCATCTTTTTATTTAATTATATCCTTTTTCTTTATGCTGTGTCGCATTATTAATATCAAACATTTTTTATGCATTGGTAACGTTATTATTCCTTTTTTTTCTTTTACCTCTTTTTTTTCTTTTTCTTTTTTCTTTTTTCTTTCTTTCTTCTTCACCTTTCTTTCATTAATATAAAATCCATATTTTTGGTAAAAAAATTCATATAATTATTTACTTCATCCAATCGGATGAACAATAAATGGTCGAACGGAAAGAATGATTAAGAAGAAAGTAAACTTTGGGAAATAAAATCTCGGGAGAAAAAGCGCGACAAAGCAATTCCATTAATTTTCACTTGAAAGCTAATCGATCGAAAGCTTCTTTTCTTTTCCTTTTTCTCTTTCTCCCTCTCTTTCTCCCTCTCTCTCTCTCTTTCTCTTCTTTCTCACTTTCTTTCTCTATTTCTTTGAAAAGAAAATAAAGTGTAGTTTGCGTGTATTGTACAAACGAAAGGAAGAGAAGTGGTGTAGGAAATAGGTGGTATAGGAAAAGGAAAAAGAAGGAAAAAAAAGGAAAAAAAAAGGAAAAAAGAAAAAAAAAAAGAAAGAACCAAGGCGAATAACAGAGAAGAGAAAGCGATGAAAATCCCGTGACGTTTGGTTTTCATTGGATATTTCTTCTGCAAAATCGTCCTAGTAAAGTTTCCATTCGGCACCGACGCTATACTGAGCTATGAGAAGTACTTTGAACTCAGTTATATTTCCCTAGAGATCGACAAGAGAAACCAGAGCGTAAGGGCGAAAGACGAGAAAGAGGGAAATTCGAAGAAAGAGAGATATAGTAAGAAGAGCTTCTTATTAAGAGAAAGATCAAGAGAGAAAGATAGAAAGAGAGAAAGAGAAAGAGAGAGAGAGAGAGAGAGAGAAAGAGAGATTAAAATGTCCTTGGAATAGAACTTCAAATTGAACCAATGAGATGTCTTATATATGTCATACAACATCTAACTAATTTGAATGCATCTTAAAGTTTCTCGATCATCTAATAAACCAGAAGAAAGTTATTTAACGCGTTTCTAATTTCCTATTTGAAAAGTGATTGCTGTGAAGCATGCAATAAAATAATTTAAAAATAAGTTTCTTCTTAGATCAATTGGAAGAAAATTAATTGACAAATTTAATTCAATTCTTTTTTCTGATATTTCAAGCAAAGAAAAATAATATAAAATAAATTACATATAAAATATATCTATATATATGTATGTATATATATATATATATATATATATATATATATATATTATTTATAATACAAACGATTCTTCTATATCGCAAGAATATATTTCAAATAACTAATTATCGTATGCGAAATGAGTATGTAGAAGTAAATATATAAGTTTACTCGGTCAGCGTAGTTTAAATCGATAGAAAGCTAACTCTTCTTTTTTCGGATAGAAGAATCTAAAGGGTAAAGTTTGCTTTGGCTCGAATCCACGATATCCCTTTTCCCTCTTCCTTCATTTTCTTTCGACTTTCCAAACCAATCTCTCTTCTTAGAAGTAGCTAGGACGATAACGATATCTTTAGCGACCAGTATCGATTGTCATTAGTCGCTAATTTTTTTTTTTTCTTTTCTTCCCCTTTAATTTTACGTATCTAAAATGGAAAGAGGACTTTTAGACATACACATATATTATATATATATATATACACACACACACGCACACACATCGTATTCATTCTTTCTCTTTTTCCCTTTCCGTCCTTCGATTAATCAAAATCGATTAGTTTCCATTCAACTTTTCGAACTATACCAATTGATTGTGATTATATCTTACATCTTATGATATGTTACAAGAAACGAAACGAAAGGAACACTTTGCGAAATCGCAAACCGCATGAATTTTCGTCGTTCGAAAACGCGAGGCAGACCTTCTTCTGTTTTCTTTTTCTTTATTATTATTATTATTATTATTATTATTATTATTATTATTATTATTATTATTATTATTATTATTATTATTATTTTTATTATTATTATCATTTTTCTTTTTTCTCCATTTTTCTTTTTTTCTTCTCTTTTTCTTGTTCTTTCTTCTCCGATACCCATAATTCATTTTCATGGATCGACCAGTAGAACATTATCCTTGATTTGAGAGAAGAATTTCTTTATATTTTCTCAATATATATTTAAATCGTGAAATAAATTATTTCTTTCAATGATTTTTAATGCTCCAGATATAATAATCAGATCTAAGGACATCCTTCTTTTTTTCATTTTTTTTCTTCTCCTTTTTTTTTATTTTTTTTTTTTTTTTATTTTTATTTTCAAATGGAGAACTCTTCCTCTCTCTCTCTCTCTCTCTCTCTCTCTCTCTCTCTCTCTCTGCCCGTTCTCACGATAGGATCGATGAATTTTATTTATTTATTTATTTATTTATTTTCTTTTTTTTTTTTACAACTAATTTACAATAATCTTAATCACGCCGCTGTTCTTGCCTAATATTTCATTAGTAATCTATTGGGAATATCGATTATTTAAACAACGTAGACGATTTTTCTCTAGGTGTAACATGTCGTAATTTTTTTTTTTTTTCTTCAAATGCTTTTGCATCCTTTTTTTTTCTTTTCTTTTCTTTTCTTTTCTCCTCTTTTCTCTCATCTTCTCTTCTTTTTTTCTTTTACAAGTTTTTAGCGCATTTAATATGTAATACATATCTTAGTTATTGTTCTTGAACATTGAATTTGATTTTATTCTTGACGATAATTGCGTTCAGCTCTCTCTCTCTCTCTCTCTCTCTCTCTCCCTCTCTCTTAAGTCATGTTTATTATTAAAAATATTTAATATAAAAGTATTAAAAGTTAATCGCAGAGAGAAAAAAGTAAATCGATTAATGAACACAGAAATTGGCATATAGTGTTAAATGAATAATTGTATGTTTCTTATAATTTGTTTGACGGTGTTTCACTTCTTCTTTGTTTATTTATTTATTTATTTATTTATTTATTTATTTATTTGTTCGTGTCTGTTTGTCTTTTTTTCTTCTTCATTGTCTTTTGTTCTTGTCGTTCTGCTTGGAATTGAACGCAAAAATCAATCGTGTTCGTTCACAGACAAAAACTTTTCCATCTTTATAACTTGCTCGATTGGCTTTATAATATATTATCTAAGAAATATAAAAATTCTTATCAATGTCCTATCTAAATAGGCGTGTAGAAACGTTTCTTTTTTTTCATTTATTATATCCATACTCGTGTGACGTATCGAGATAATACATCTTAAGACGGAATAACGCGATCCATCGAAATCTAATTAATTATGATACAAAATAATTACAAAATCGTATTGTTAAAAAAGTTTGTCCTATTTATTACAAACGAATTCCCTTCGAAATGATATATCGTGTTTTAAACCACATGAATATCAGCCGATCATTATTGGTAATTAAATTGAAACAATTTCAAACAAAGAAATGTTTTTTACATATTAATTCTATAAATAATAACTAGTAGATTATTTCAGATATTATTTCAATGATATTTCAAATGTATTTTTTATATACCGAAACGAAGAGAATATATATATATATATATATATATATATATATATATATATATTATAATATAATATAAATAAACCAAAAGTATAGCGTTAATTAACACGATAGCTAAATAGATTTTGAGAAATTACGTTTTCCATCTCTGATATATAGAACCGATATAAAGTTATATTAATAAAATTAATTAAGACTCGTCGTTCGAATTGTATCGTGAACATAATGTCGTATTCATGTGAATCATTCGAAATCGAGAGCCATAATAATTGGCGGATGGTTTGTTATTCGCACGAGAAAGTAAGTCAAATCCATGTTTGATCATTTAACACACACACACACACATATATATATTATCTCACTTCGCTCGTCTATACAGTGACATACGTATAATACAATGTATCTTTATTCTCAATGAAGAGAGAAATTTGTCGACACCCATCACCATTCTTAATTTTGAATCAGGGACGTGTTTCTATTAAAACGTACATAGTCAGCACTTTTATAGAATCCATTTAAAACGAATGATCGAATCAAAAGAATCTCGAGCTTCGTAGTATTATTGGGTTCCTTGAAAAATCCTAGATATATCTTCCAAGGGAAACTACAATCGATGTAACAAAGCAAATCTACCTTTATCTCTTCTCTATCCATCTCTTTCTCTCTCTCTCTTTCTCTACTCTTTCTCTTTCATACACAGAGAGACATACACAGCAGCAGCAGACACGCGAACACACACACACACACACACACATTTATGATGTTGTTTCCTTGTCGAGAAATGAGACAGATAGGGAGTGAATTAGAGAAAACGAGATAGAGATAGAGATATAGAGACAGAGAGAGAGAGAGAGAGAGAGAGAGAGAGACAGAGAGAGAGACAGAGAGAGATAGTTAACTATCCATCCCAAAAGTTCGGAAACTCGAAAGTTCCATCGTGGAATTTCGCTTTGGGGACACATTCGAAGGGACATCTAGGAGACATTTTTACATTTCAGTGTTCTCCTCTGTCTCCTCGTCTACCTTCGGTAGCATGTAAACTGCTGCGATCGGTGGCACGTGATCCTCCAACTTCAAGATCGGTTTGCAGTCTCTAGTGACATCAACCTGATTAAAGGAATCCTTCAGAATATTGATCTCGTTCTCATGGGCGAATATATTAGTAGGTGTTTCCGTGGCGCATACATTCGTCTCCTCTGTACCATTTCTATGGCACAGATTACCGGACGGAAATTGTCACGAAGTCAGAGCAAAGGGATCGGTTGATAGCTCGTCAACGCTCGAGCTTGCCTTAACTGGTTCTTGTTTTTCATTTTGATGACAAAATCGATGAACGATCTCGTCATGTAAAATATTGAAGCACATTGCCGTCAATGCCATGCCCGACATTATATAACAAGAGCAAAACCAAATCGTTGCGTTTCGCGATGAGGATGGATTATTATGAGGATAAGAACCCGGCACCATGTCTCCGAATCCAATGGTGCTTAAGCTCATGAAGCAGAAATAACTTGCGTCTGAAACATATTCAATTGTATGTTGAAAAAAAAATTAGCGAAAATTAATACATGAATTAACACGTCATAAATTAATATGACAAATTAATAATTTCTTATCAATTTGACAAAAATAAATAGTGCGTTAATATTTCGACTTGAATATTTATCAATTCTGTTTGATACGCGCATTTATAATATCAATGGAATAGAATTGTCATATATATAAAGAAAATGAGATATTTTTAGCTCACCTACGAAGGTCCAACCATCCAACTTGTGAAGAGTAAATGCTCCCGCAACGATATAGCAGAGCATAGCACCAAGACAAATGCTAATGGGTGCCAATATGGTCACATTAGGTCTGTCACCAGATCCAAGACTGGATACCTCATCCTTCGGGCTAGCTTTGATTTCAACTGTACTCGTAAACGTCGACGAATTAGCACGCACATAAAATGGTTCCTGTAACTGCAGTTGTTGCTGTTGCTGTTGCTGCGCCAATTCTTCCTGTTGCCTCTTTCTTCGCATACGTCTCTCTTTCTCCTAGGCGAATTTACGAAATAAACAACAAGGAAACTTTGACATAGGATTGGGATCGCGTGCTGGGGTAATAGAGGTTTGAGGTAAAGGAACACGAAACGTTACGAAGCCGTAAAGAATTTTCTAAAGCGATATCGAACACCTGTCGTCGTTTAAGTCACCAAGAACGATTTTCAAATCAGAATCGTAGAAGGAAATAATCGACCCGATCGTTTCGATGGTTTTTCCAAAGTAAGTTACCCTCCCCTAAACCCCCATCATCATTCTTTTGGCCATTTCAAGTTCTCTGCTCGATTGCTTTCGTCGATAAATTCAATCCCCTCTCTTAAACTCCTTCCTCCCCGACCAATCTTTTCGTCCCTCTTCTCTTATCCCGTATTCGAAGAGATGTCGAGCGAGCGAGGATGGGTGGGTGGGATTGGTTAGGGAGGGATGGAAAGAAAGATAAAAATACAAAATTCCAAGAAAAATATTCTTCGGATGGAGAGGGGGGGAGAGTCACGTTATTTACTTCTTTCATTTTGACTATTTCGAGTTGGACCTCGAGAACTGCTACCGAAACCAATTTATCGCGTACGTGGTTCGTTGAAGAATTTAACAAGCATGCAGTATAAAAGAGACGGAGAAGAGAGGTTGTAGAGAGAGAGAGAGAGAGAGAGAGAGAGAGAGAGATAGATAGATAGAAAGTGGGAGGAAGGGAGGAAGGAGGGGGAGGGAAAAGAGAGAAAGAAAGAAAGGCAGAAGGAAAGAAAGAAAGAAAGAAAGAGAGTAGACGCATAGAGACATCCGCAAAGTACTCACCTGCATTCGTCTCTCGTCGTAACAACAATAGCCGCAGTTCGAACAAAGGCAGCAACAAAGAGCCCGGGTAAAAACACCCCTGGCGCACCTGGACAACAGACCTCCGGCATTTGACAAGTAGACTATCGTCAAGGGTATACCTAGACTGGCGTAACCCATGGTGGCAAGTTTACCCCACGTTGACTTAGGTGCTATACTGCCACAGCCTAGAAAAATATAATAATATATGAGGATTATTTTTATTTATTTATTTATTTATTTATTTATTTATTTATTTTTCTTTTTTATTTTTCTTTATTCTTACTTTTTTTCCTTTTTCATTTTTCTTCATCGTAAAATAATCAGACCAATCTGACACGATATAATTAACTGATTATATCGAATCGAGGAGGAACTATGATGCATTTGGGTACTTTATGCCTAGTTAATTTATGTTACCATCATGTGAATTATAGTAGTTACATGAAAGCCAATGGGCACGGGATGCTGTTATGTTTATTCATGGTAATCAGGTCGTACGCGTAACGAGGAATTTAACCGCATACGTATGCATGGATGTATGTATCTACAAGCAAATAATGTAACACTAGTTTCGATTTCTAACGTCGATATCATTCAAATCGTATCGAATATATAAAAGTTTCTACGATTTATCGATATCTGCAATCTTATACGCTGTCATCATTTCATTTTATACATCAACACTTTTATTAACATAATATACGTATTACTATCATAGGATTCTTTTTTTATATATTAATATCTCAAACAACAAGTATCTTTTAATAAATAATATCAAAAGATATCTCAAAAATTCTTCTCTTCTTTTTTCCACGATAAAGATCTCTAAGGGCCAGATTAATCCAGGGAATGGATCCTAAGTGGTCTAAATCGGAACAAACGAAAAGAAGTTATGTGCCTTGCGATAAAAAAAGTGGTGAAAGGAGAGAAGGGACCTAAAAAAAAAAAAAAAAAAAAAAAGAAAAAGAAACTATAGTAGGCAGCTACTACCACATATTGACTAGAAATGGGGGGATGGCAAAGAAAAGCTATCTGTCCAGATGCGAGAGTCGAGAGCGCATCGATTGATCAACGCCGCTTAAGATAATGGATCGTCCATTGAAATTGCTCTGGACAGCGTATGATAGTAGTCTCTCTCTCTCTCTCTCTCTCTCTCTCTTTCTTCTCCCTTCTTTCTCTTTCCAGCTTCCAATGCACATTGCTCGTGGAATTGCGGCCGTGGAAGCCCAGCAGAATCGGGGAACGCCTATTCGTCACTGTCGTTTCGCCTTATCGTCCACGACGCGGGACCTGGCCCTTTTGCCGGCCATTATCTCTTACCATTTGTTTGTTCCACATCGAATCGTCGATCTGACTTTTATTGCTTCAGAGCCAAGGCTCTCTCTTTCTCTCTCTCTCTCTCTCTCTCTCTCTCTCTCTCTCTCTCTCACTCTCTCTGTTTATCTTTCTATACACGATGCAAACGATTAATATTATATTTCTCTTTTTTCTTTTTTCTTTTTTTTTTCTTTTTATTGTAACAACAACAGCAGCTGCACTAAAGTGACGAGAATGTCGAGAACTTGTTTATATCTCTTTCTCTTTAACAGCTGTTCATCGATATCTTTTAAAATAAAACGTAGTTTCGTTCTCTCTCTCTCTCTCTCTCTCTCTCTCTCTCTCTCTCTCTTTATAACTTTTATTTGGAAAATATCGAAGTAAAAACATTCGTGTGTTGGTCGTTAGGATCTCGATAAATCACACAACGTAAATCGATACTTTATTGTATCGATTCGAGAATTTTAGGTTGAGACATATCTCGATGATATATATATATACGCGCGCGCGTGTGTGTGTGTGTGTGTGTGGTACAAGCTAAAATGAGTTTTATAGTTTCGAATTGACATCTGTAAAACTTACTGTAAGGTATAGTACTTAAAGTAAAGAATTTAACCGATCAAAGTGGCAAGGAGAACGGCGAACACGTAGAAGTGACTTCCGAGTTTACTTCGTACTTTCCGATTTCATAAGTTCGATTAAATCGACGGAAAGTATCGAATTTCTCTTATCGTTACTTGAAAAGTAGCTTTACCAAAAGCAATCGCTTTCCTTTGGTCTACTATGAAACTAAAGCTAACGTTACTCTCTCTCTCTCTCTTATCTATTTTACACATTTATGTACTTAGGTAAGGAGTTACTCTTGAATATATAAAGTAAGTAGAGAAAGAGAGAGAGAGAGAGAGAGAGAGAGAGAGATAAACGATTCTCGATAGATCGATCCCAATGGATTTTCGAAACCTTGTCGATTATCGTACAGGTTTGAAAATTATTTTGAAATTGAATCGAATTACAAAGATGAAAAGTGTTGAAGGTAAAGGAAAATAGAAAGGAAAAGAAAATTATATTAAAATGTTTTGCGCAGTATTCGCAAAAGAAAAACAATAATATAGATTATGGCTCGTTCTCTAAGGATATTGAAAATTAGGATTGATATTTCGATAGCATTGTTCGTCGAGAAGAAACAAGGAAGCTTGTTTTTTTTTCTTGTATGAATCAAATCGATTTCTCTTGATCGATACAGCATCAGTATAAATGTTCTTTCTATTCTCTATTAAATTTTATATTCTATTCCATCACATTCATCGAAACCCCGAGCATTGTCAATTTTATTTTACGAATATCATTCAATTTTTATTCGAATAGAAAATTTCACGTTGTATGTCAAAAATATCAAAAGAGGAAACGTAAGAGAAGAGAAAAAAAAATAGGAGAAAGTCAATAAATAATCTCGTTTGAAAAAAAAAAAGAAAAAAAAAAAGAGAAAAAGATATAATGTATTAATATCTATGTAATTGTCATTTTTTTTTCTTTTTTTCTTTTTTTTTCTTTTTTTTTTTTTTTTTGAAGGATTTTCTTTGAGATCCGTTCGAACCACTAATTATCTAATATACGTAAGACTAATATACGTCATATCATATTCAGTTCCCCAACGGTAATTTAATTTCTATCAGAGAACTAATACTATTCCAAAGATTCTAACTTATGCAATAAAATTAGACTTAGATATACTCAAAGTGTGCTACGGAATATTCATCGGATCAAAGATTGCATCGATTCAAAGGGAGTATGGTATTAGTATTACATAGAAAATTTACATTCCCAATATATATATATATATATGTATAGATATATATAGATTTGTCTTTGACTGAAGTGAATTTTCAGTTGAATATCTGAGTAGCGAGAGATAAAGCGAAAGGAGAAAAAGAAATTGTTAATTTTCTTTTTTCTTTCCTTTTTTTTTCTCTCTCTCTTTTATTTTCCTCAACCAACGAAAAGCAAATATTTAGTATCGATCCAATCTCAGCTATTTCCTGATGAACTTCCTTTAAAACCAAAAAAGATCCCTACACTTTTAGCTACCTTTGTTTTTACGTCGGTGGTATCGAATATTCTACTAGAGCATCATTACTGTAATTAGAAACTGCTGATCATTCGAGTTACATCCGAGCGTTTTATTTCTTTCTTTTTTTCTTTTTATTGGATTCTCTCTCTCTAAAAAAAAAAAAAAAAAAAAAAAAAAAAAGAAAAAAAAAACAAGCACACCGTTATCCTCATAAAGTTATCAAATATTTAATTTCAATAATTCAATTCGAAAGAATTGATACCCCGAATAGACAAATGAAAAGACAAAGTTATCAGCCTTTAGAACATTGTCGTCCATTTTGTGATCGCGTCGATGACAAAGGAGTTCTATGTTCGTTCAAACACGACGACGAATTATCTTACGGACAGACGATTCAAGAGAATTTGGCAGGCACAACAAGAAGGGATAGAGTTTGGGGTTGGGTTTGGGTTTGGGGTGAAGAGGAAGGGAAGCTTTCCGGTGGCGCAGCTGTATCACCAAGAGCAATTCGTCAAGAGTAGTTTGTCGGGCATCATGCCAGTAGATTATCCTAAAGAGAGACCAACACGCTTATGTTTAATGGTTAGAAAAATAATTTTTCAATGATCCGTAAAATATTTATTAATTTATTTTCTTTAGTTCTTTTAGTTCTTATGTATGTTCGTTCGTTCGTTCGTTTTCAAACTTTAAATTCTTGAAAAATATGTCTGATCGAAAATTCTTTAATTCCAATTGATCGCATCTGATTTATTTGTTGTTTGTCATTTCGTATATAAGTATCCGCGACATTTCTACATGAAAAGGATAAAATATTGTATTAATGTATTGTCAATATGAATCTCTAGAGACAGAGAGAAAGAGAGAAAGAGAGAATCTCATATATCAATGAACGTATTAACGTCATCCTAACAGCCTAAAGCGATATCGTACATCGAAGAGACGTATATCGATCTTGTTTCAAAGCCAATCAAACTTCTTTGCGTCTGATTAACATGGCAGTCGAGGAATTTCGACGAAGATTGTTCGTAGATGGGGATCAACCTGACGCTAAGTTTCCGCATCTTTCAGAGACTTCAAGTCTTCATGTAACGCGTTCTAATACCTTCGGCAGTAGTTTACTAACTTGTAGAGAGAACTGGGTTTGCATATACCGAAAGATATAGCCTGAGAACTGAGCTTCATCAGTTCACTATGTTCTTTAGAATTTGTTAAACACCACCATCGAGAATTTCTTATCGAGAGAACTTTCTCGATAAATCACGTTATAGTTATAGAATAAATAATTTCATAGAATCTTAATTCTATAGAGAAGAAATCTTTTAACTTCAATGTATTATTCGATATATTTACGAATAACATTTAGTTCTGAACTCGTTATAATTTAATTCAATTCCATAGAAATCAGGCAGCCGCATATACATAAGTAGTACCTATCTACTCGAATATACTTCGTAATATCATAATTTTTAATGCTACATACAACTCTTTGTAGATAGACATTTTTAGTAATATATATATATATATACATATATACAGAGTTAACAGGTTAATCATCATTCATGTACCGTGGAATATTAGAAAATGTTCTTCGCAATGGTTAGAACCGCAGTGGTACAAAAGTTTTTCTCGTAAAACCGTACCTTCCGAAATATAAAAGAAACGCAGGCAACCGAGGTAAACCGATCGAGAAAGAAACGGCACGAACTGCATGGGTAAACGAAGCGAAACGAGGTAGTAAAAAGGAAAAAAAGAAGAAAGAAAGAGAGGGAGAGAGAGAGAGAGAGAGAGAGAGAATGAAAG